CGCGTAAACAACGTCCATGGCAGTGACGGTCTTCCTTTTAGCGTGTTCAGTATAAGTGACGGCGTCACGGATGACATTCTCAAGAAATACCTTGAGGACACCACGAGTCTCTTCGTAGATCAAACCAGAAATACGCTTCACACCTCCACGACGAGCCAGACGGCGGATGGCAGGCTTGGTAATACCCTGGATGTTATCGCGAAGAACTTTGCGATGACGCTTGGCTCCTCCTTTTCCCAACCCCTTTCCTCCCTTACCACGGCCAGTCATTCTGATAGAGTAAACGTAATAGACCTTATACCGCAATAACCTCAAAAGGTCGAATGATGCGATACGAAACTTGAGCCCTCTTTTTATAGGCTTGCTTGAAACTCTCCCCTCTCTACAACTGTTCAGTCGGCAACACTCCCCTCACATCTACCTTACTTCCTAGCCCATTCTCGAGCGTATAAAAAGGGGGCGCATTACCATCTGCGAACATTGAATCGAGTGCTCGTCGAGCGCGCGTCGAGTGTGGACGTATCCCCCCCTAGCGTGGCGAGTGTTCCGGTGTTTCCGAGCGCGAGCGTCGCAAGCGCACCAGGCTTAAATGCCGTTGCGGCAGCATCAATAGTAAATAATAGTGAAAATATCATCTCCATATCGCTCCCCATGAAGGACGAAGCGCATGGAAGCGCGAAAGTACTAACCAGAAGGACATTGAAGAGACACTCAACCAGCAAAATGGAAGACAAATCCAACTCGAAACACCATGTTAAAACTCAAAACAGATTCAACCTACTCTCTGACAACGAAAACGAAGACATGGATGCCAACTCCTCTAGCGATGAGAGCACCAGAAACCAAACCAACGACAAAGAAAAAGAAAAAAAAACTCCAAGGGTAACAACACCAAACAAAATAATAAAAGAAACAAAACATCAAAAAAAAGACAGAGTCCCACCAATAGTGGTCACCACACAAGTCAACAACTTTAGCGGATTCATCAAAGCAATAAGAGATCTAGCCAACGGCGAAGCCATTTTCCAACATACCAAGGACGGCTTAAAAATCTTCCTTGAGAGCAAGGCAAGCTATAACCTGATTCAGGCGACACTAAAAGAAAAAAACTACTCGTACTACACGTACACAAACGAAAGTGAAAAAATCAAACACTTAGTAATCAAGGGCCTTCCTAGCATGGATACTAAAGAAATCCAAGACGACCTAAATAACAAAGGTTATGGCTGCACAAGAATAGCCATGATGAAGCAGAAAGCGCCGCCACCATATATAGCTCCACTATACATGGCCTCTTTCTACGGAGGTACCGACATCAGCGAAGTAAAACGAATAAAGCACATCTGCTACACAAGAGTGTACTGGGAAAAATACAAAAATTCCAAAGGAGCGACCCAGTGCCATCGCTGCCAAAGGTTTGGCCACGGCTCTCAAAACTGTAACAATCCTCCTAGATGTGTAAAATGCGACCAAAAGCACATAACAGCCGAATGCAAGAAAGACAAAGAAACAAAACCTCATTGTGTTAACTGTGGAGAAGAACATCGAGCTAATAGTAGGTTATGTAAAGTGTATCAAGACAGGATTACGACAATTAAAAACAACAGGAATAAGCAAAGAACACAAAATACAACAAAAAAGGCCCCCGAGCCACCCAGCAACAACCACATTAATTTTCCTACATTGGCCGGAAAAACCGCAACCACACATACAGCCTGGAACAAACAAACAGAAATTGATGTCGAAACAATACAGGAACTTTCTTCAGATCTTGATAAAATCCTAAGACTCATAAAAGCAGTGCAAAATCTCAAACAACGCTTTAACCTAGACGCTATGACCGTAGCCATCGAAAAATTCACATCTGATGCAGAACAGCTGCATAACACCTTACAGCATGAACATGAAAAGTAAAAATTTTTCCATAAATCGAATTACCATATCACATTGGAACGCAAATAGCATCCAAGAAAAACTCACTGAGCTCAAAGAATTCATTCAAGATCACGAAATAGACATTATGATAGTGAGTGAAACAAAGTTCAACCGAAATGAAAAGAAAGCGTCAACCTGCAGCATACCAGGATATGACATATACCGCAAAGACAGGACGAGCACCACAACCGGAGGCGGAGTCATGATATGCGTCAAAAAGGACATCAACGTAACCGAGGTACCCATAAATACACTCAACCTGGAAGCTGTGGGAGTGCAGCTAGACAATCGTACAGTGATTGTGGCCGCCTACCTGCCACCAAAATCCAAACTCCTGGAAGACGAACTCGATCAAATCTTCAGGCTGTCCTCATCGGTCATCATCGCCGGCGACTTCAACTGTAAACATGCAGACTGGAACTGCGAAAGGTCCAATCCAAACGGAAACAAGCTCCAGGACTACATCATCAAAAATTCGTACGTATTACTGTTCCCCGATGGTCACACACACTTTCCTGATAATGATTACTTGCCTAGCACGATAGATCTAACGCTAATTAAAACCGAAAATTTTTCATATGATATAGAAGTCCTTAACGAACTTAACTCTAACCATCTACCGGTGCTGGTCAATATAAATTTCAAAGTCAAATATAGTAAAACAAAATCGAGTTATCTAAATTATAAAAAAGCTGATTGGCGAAAATTTCGTGAATTATTAAGTAATAGCATTAACTTAAATTGTAAACCAGCGAGCATAGAGGATATCGATATGTGCGTCAAAAAGCTAACAGATGACGTCAAGTGGGCCATGGAGAAGTCGATACCCAGAAATTATGAAAATTTTAATGTAAATAACATAGATCCAGAAACGAAAAATCTAATTAAACAAAGAAATAGTTTAAGAAAACAATTCAATAAGGCCAAAAACTTAGACGAAAAAAAACAAATTAAATATTCTAGAAATCAACTTGCAAAGCTTATTACTGAAAAAATTAAAAATAGAAATAATAAAAACTGGGATAATAAACTAACAACACTCAAAGTCCAAGACAACACACTATGGAAAATGACAAAATATTTTACAAAAAAAAGAGATTCAAAAATTCCACCACTTCATGGCCCACAAGGACTAGTCTTCAGCTCCCAAGGGAAAGCGGATGTACTCGCGCGGCAATTCGAAAGGGTACATCACCTAACCGATCACTTCGGCACAGAAAACTTCGATGATTTTGTCAAAAATAACGTAACCAACATTGTAAATAGCGACGTAGATACCGACACCATAGAGCTTGTCTCCTACGGTGAAATAATTAAAGCTATCAAAAATACAAGACCAAAAAAGGCCCCAGGAGAGGACGGGATCCAAAATATAATATTAAAAAACTTTCCTCGCAAAGCAATCGTGTGTCTAATATATATTTTTAATAGCTGTCTTAAACATTCATATTTTCCGAAAGCGTGGAAAAATGCTAACATATTGGCCTTTCCTAAACCTGGAAAAGAAAAAAATTTTCCCCAAAATTACAGGCCTATTAGCCTCCTGTGCACTCACAGCAAAATCTTTGAAACAATAATACTAAATAGAATTCGTAGCTTTGAAGCAAAAAATAAAAACATAATAAAAGAACAATTTGGATTCAAACACCATCATAGTACAATACAACAACTCGCTAGAATTACAAATGAAATCTCAACAAATTATAATCTAAACAGATCAACTGCCATGCTCCTTTTAGATATCGAAAAAGCTTTTGACACCGTGTGGCATGAAGGTTTGATATTCAAACTTAACAAGGTCGGCATACCATTATATATAATTAAAGTTCTTTATTCGTATCTTAAAAATCGCACTTTTACAGTCTCAGTCAAAAATCATAATTCTAGTTTACAAAACATACATGCTGGAGTCCCACAGGGGTCTATCCTAGGACCAATACTCTTTTTATATTACATTAATAACATACCGAAGCATACAAATACAAGCCTAGCATTATTTGCAGATGATACAGCGATCCTGGCCTCCTCCTGGTCAAAAAAGAAAGCAATTGAATATATACAAAGGCATATAACCATTATGCGTAAATACTTCGAAAAATGGAAAATAAAAATTAACGATAAAAAAACCGAACTAATTATATTCAGCAAACGCAAAGATAAGCCATGCGATAAAAATGCTTACATAGACATGAATGGAACTAAAATCAAACCTACCACGCAAGTGAAATACCTAGGAGTAACACTAGACAAGGGTCTTACATATACAAAACATATCCAAAATATCCGAAAAAAAGGACAAGCAGCATCAGCGCTCTTACACAACCTACTTAATAGGAAAAGCAAAATGTCAATTAAAAATAAGTTATTAATTTACAAAGTGATTATACGACCTGTGCTATTGTACGCCTCACCGGTGTGGAGCAATACTTGTGAAAGCAACTATTATAAACTAGAAATAATCCAAAACAAAATACTAAGGAAAATAATTAATGCCGAACCCAGAACTAGCAATAAAAAAATTAGGAATCAACTCAGAATAAAGACAATCAAAGAAATAGTACTTGATCACACCAATAAATTTTACAAATATCAGTTGCACAAGGCAGACGCCCTCGCAGACTTTAAATTTTATAACAAAGAAAATGCACCATTTAAAATTAAACACAAACTACCCTACCATTTGCTGCGCAGTGACCATCAGGAGCAGCAATACGCTAGTCAGTAAGTTCTCTTGTTACCTAGTTTTAAGCTCTAGTAAGTAAGGCCAAACAAAATTAATGTGTTTTTTACCAAATCCTTTTTCACAAAACCCACAAACCATAATAAGTAACATTCATATATCGTTCATAATTCATAAAATCAAAAACAAAATATTAACTTAGAGTAAAAGCGCCAACAGCTGAACCTAAAACTAACACAAAAATTACAATACAGCATACTAATCACCAAGTGAAATTATGTATATACTCTGTAATCAAAAGTAATAAATAAAGAGATTTTTAAAAGTAAAAAAAGTATCTGCGAACATTCTAGTTTCAGCATCGGTCGCCCTGTACTGTTGTTACTCTAACACTATGGCCCGCACTAAGCAAACAGCGCGCAAGTCCACGGGAGGCAAAGCCCCGCGCAAGCAGTTGGCCACCAAAGCCGCTCGCAAGAGTGCGCCTGCTACTGGTGGTGTAAAGAAGCCCCATCGTTACAGGCCTGGAACCGTCGCTCTTCGTGAAATTCGTCGCTACCAGAAGAGCACCGAGCTTCTCATTCGCAAATTGCCATTCCAGCGCCTCGTACGTGAAATCGCACAGGACTTCAAAACTGACCTGCGCTTCCAGAGCTCGGCCGTCATGGCTCTTCAGGAAGCCAGTGAAGCTTACCTCGTTGGACTTTTCGAGGATACTAACCTCTGCGCCATCCATGCCAAGCGCGTCACGATTATGCCAAAAGACATCCAATTGGCCAGACGTATTCGTGGAGAACGGGCTTAAGACATCATTCAGACAATTACAAAACCGGCTCTTTTAAGAGCCAAAAATATAAACGTACATTCTTACTTTTCTCATTTTCATGGGTTCGTTCTTGATAAAGATATAAAAATTTTCATTTAGTACATGCCTATCAAGAAATTCTTTAACCTCTTTTCTAGTTTCAGACCTAGTCTTTCGTTGATAAATAGAAAAGGTTTTAATTGCAAAAGACTGAATAAGCTTGTGCCCATTCTGAGTATCTTGTAATAAACTACAAAATACGTAGCAAACGATTAGTCAAAATATTCAACGATTTTCTAAAATGTTGAATCAAAATTATATTGTTCAGGAAAATGTCAAGTTTAGAGATAGAATCTTTTTAGTTAATTTTAAGCAAGAATATGATAAAATATTTTTAAAATTAAATGTATTAAAATTATGGTATTCGTACAGATCAATTTTTTTTTTACTTATAGAATTTTGAAATATGTGCAATACTTTTAGGGCTATTAGAAGTTTATTATTTAACCATTTTGAAACAAAATCTTACTGTTGAAGAGAAGGTTGAAACTTACCATCTAATCGATCATTTACTGTAAAATTTTAAAACATGTCTAGAGGTTAAATAAAACCATATAATTGTTACTTTATTATTTTATAATAAAATACTTTAATCACAGGGGAGTACCAGACAAACCATTTCATTGTTTACTTACTAAAATTTTTTAACATGTGCGATAATTTCAGGGGAGGTTTAAATAAACCATTTGTAGCATTGTGATCAGTTGAATCTTCGGAAATTAGTCTGGGATATATATAATAGTAACCAGTAGAGTAAGTGCATAAGAATACGATTCGTTAACAGCTGAATAAGGAAAAAGAATGGAGAATCCAAAAACCTGATGTTACTTTTAGAAACGTTATTTTCGGCCTAACTCCGACTTAATCAGGTTTATCTACAAAAATATAGAATTTATAATATAAGTGGCAGGCATTATTTAATAAAATGAGAATTTATAAGAATGATTTAGTACATACTCAATAGAGATTTAAGATGAAATGGATAACATGTTTGTTTTGTCAGCAACAGGTGGTAATATACACAATTTTTGCAAGATTATAAGATTACAAGATTAAAATATATTTAAGCCCCCATCAGCCAGTTTTTGTCATCCAAAAAAAAAAAAAAAATTTAGAATCAGTCGCAGTTCGATAGTTAAATGCAACTGATATTTTATCCATAATATTAAACATTAACTACATGAAAAGATTGTGAGTATATTTTTGTTTAGAGCAAGTGAAAATCTCTATTCCAAGTTGCTTGCACAATTTCTAATACATTGGCAGTAAAATTAAGAACATTCCTTACAGTATCGTACACTTACTATTTAGAGAAAAAGAAAGCTGTATTGTCGATAAACCCTAGCTGTTTTAGCTTAAGTCACATAGTGAGGTAAAGTTAGATTATGTTAGCTTGGAAGACCCAAGCTACATTAACTTTTCTGTAGACATAAAATAATGATGCAGGTTGTGTGTACTTGTATGTTAAGCTAGTAGGTATAGCTTTGAATTTGAGTTATTATCGATTGAGTGGACCAAAGCTGGTTTGACTTGTGAACTTTGGTTGACGTTTCAATATTTTTTTGAGTATACTATAAAAAAAAAAATTATCTATTAATACTCAGAAATCATCGAACTACTCCTAACGAAGTCAGGAAAGAAAAGGGAGCAGCCTAGCTACTTATTTTAAATAACTACTATAAAATCACCCAAAATACGATGAGCAGTAAGAACTCTAGCAGGACTATTTTGTTCCTTATTTGATATGGCAATTTCGATCAATGCCTCTGATATACTAAATTGTCAACTTTTGTGATAACAGAACAGAATAAATACGTTTAAAATATGTATTGGCCCTGACAAGGGCCTTTTGTTTAAGAGCTGAGATTGTATTTACTTCTTTGCTGCAGCTTTGGCCTTAGGTGCCGCTGCTTTCTTGGGTTTTGGAGTCTTGGGCTTAGCAGCCAAGGCTTTTCCGCTCTTCTTCGCCTTTGATGGGGATTTGGGCTTCTTCACAACAGGTTTTTTGGCAGCTGCTGGTTTTTTGGCTGCGGCTTTTTTAACACCTACTGGTTTTTTAACTACCTTCTTTTCACCCGCAGGCTTCTTCGCTGCTGGTTTCTTGGCTGCAGGCTTCTTTACCACTACTTTTTTCTCGCCTTCGTTCTTGACTGCAAGCTTAAAACGTCCAGCTGCACCAGTTCCCTTGGTCTGGACGAGAGCCTTCTTCTCAACAGCGGATTTCAAATACTTTCTGATGAAGATGGACTGCTTCGCAACATCGATCTTGTAGTTGGCAGCAATGTACTTCTTGATAGCTGGGAGCGAAGAGCCCTTTTTATCTTTTAAGGCAGCAATAGCCTTGTTGACCATCTCCGAGGCAGGAGGATGAGTCGGTTTGGCAGCTGGTTTTTTGGCTCCAGTCTTCTTGGCTGCAGACTTCTTCGGCGAAGCAACTGATGGGACAGGAGCAGACGTAGTCTCTACGGCGTCACTCATGGTGGATACAGTAGAATCGTTGAAAGCCGATACGGAATACAACAGAGGTTTGCCACGCAATGGTTTGTGAGTCCATTATATTCTATAAGCGCGGCCCGCGTAGAGAGACACTGAGAGATGTAGCAGTTTCACTCTCTCACTTTCAAACGCACGTGTTACTATTTTATTTTATCAAAAATCAATTAAATAATCTTAAGCGCTGACATAACACATTAGTCTGTCACTCATTATCCAAGTAAAAGCTGAGCTATAAAATCAAATTATCTATTATCAGCTAGCATAACAAGATTATGAAAGAAATGTGATATTTTGATAAACCACATATTCAACCTACAACACTTAACAGATTAAAATATTAATAATTAAAAAACTATCAAATATATTTATCAAACACCTGGTTAGATATCAAACTCAATAAGTCAACACGCATTTTTAAACTTGTTTTTTATGATTTGTACTCAGAGAATAGTTCAAATAAACGATTAAAATCCAATCTGCAGAGTTTTCATTCGTCTCTATACTGAATATAAAATCGTTTGGTCGTTAATGCATGATACTATGTTAAATTTTGTTTGCACTAAGAAATTTTCATTATTCATATCTAATTAAATCAGATAATTAGTAAGGACATATTTCCTATAGAATCGTACAGTATTAAAAATTTTTAGCGATAAGTAAACATGAAATCGTCAAAACAACGATAATGAAACAGTATGTATATTTCTATTAAATTTTATTTAGAACATATTTTCCACTATTTTACCCGGGACATACTTCAATTACCTATACTTTAGATCTGTAAAAATACTTTTTGAAATAAAAAGTTTAAAAAAAGATAAATTGGCAATGTAGAGGGGCTTAAAAATCTGTTTTATACTTCATTTACTTAGTTAGCATCAACATGTAATTAACGAATCAGGTCAATAAAATGTTATTAGCAGAAGTGAGAATATTATTAAAATGTGCCAGCAATATATGTATATATATAATATTTAGGATACAGTTACTTATTTAACGAATACAATAAAATCTGATTTAATAAAAATATACAAAGTATACATTTTTTTTTTTTTCATAGCAATACAATAAAAATAAGAAATTAACAAAAACAGTTACATATAACTTTATACTATTATTTTACATAACAATTATTATTTTTTTAGTTCTAATAATATAAATACATTTAGATTTTCACGTTTTCAAAAATGGAAATATCAAATTTTTTAAATCATCGTGAGCATATTCACCATTAGAGTTTTTTTTTTTAATTAAAATTGAGTTTACTAACTTTTAGCATAGTAACGTTAATGAAAAATGAATGTAAAAAATGAATGTTGAATCTCTTGGTAAGGATTGGGCCTTGCTTGCTTGAAAAAATTTTTTTTGTTTCATCACTGAGAATTTGATTTTTTCATCTTTGTTTATCCTATTAATGCAGCTTGTTCAAGTCTTCGAGATCCGTTGAAATTGAGATAACGTGCGTCTTACTCAGTCAAATTGCGTGAAATTAGAAAATTTGTACTTTTGAATATTAGAAATCTATTACCACGGATATAATTTTTAGAAACACTATTGATGAAATTGTTCACAAAAAGTCATGAGGTGTCATACTTAAGTATAATACAGCAACACAAAAATCCGATCCTCGACACGACTGCTATCAGAGAAACATCTTGTACATTATTTTTCTATCATATAAAATCAATAAATGAGTACCAAATGGCTACAGTTTCATTTTTTGACATTCACATCTTGTCTTACGAAAAGTAAAGTTTTTATGACATAACGCTCAACAGAAAGAATTAGTTTTTTGGGTACTACTTCATAAAAAAAAAAAAAAATAAATAAAATTCATTTTTCAGAATTGAAAAAAAATTTTCCTGTTTAAGGTAGTTTATCCAAAAATCACTTTATTTACAATCTTCTTCAAACTTTGCATATCACTTTATTAGAGTATAATGCATAAATGTTCAAAATTTTATTATGACTGTCCGTACCGTTTTCAAGGTATGAAGCTGCTAAGTTGGACTCTTTAACACGGTAAGCATAGGCGAGCTGCGCGAAAAACGAACGTTTTGATTAATTAAACAAAAAGTATATTTACAATTCTTATGAAAAATTATGAGCATGAAGTAAAATATATGACGAATCTACTATATTTCACACAGAGATACCATCCGTACAGTTTTTTAATAAATCAAATTGAAAGTTAGCAATTTTCCAAATGAAGCAGACAATAAATTGCGGATTATCTGATATGTGGCAACAAAGCGTATTGCAGTCGCATGGAGATGAGTCGCTAGCAATATATATATGGATATACGTACTGTATCGATGTAGCAGAACAGCTGTTTGAATTGATGCAAATTAACAAAATATTAATTGAATTAACGAAATAATTTTTAGAAATTTATACACGTGATTGATTTATGTGTACTTGTAGAAGTTGTTTTTTGTGAAATTGTGTTTTGTAATTAGTTGTTACACCGAGTGTGAGGAAAAGGGGTTAGGTCAATAAAGTTTTTTTTTCTTTTTTTTTTTTAATAAACTAAACAAAAATCAAACAACATTTTTATTGATGAAAACTTGTAGACTAGCAAAAATTAATGCAAATTAATGATTCTGTTTCCTTCTAATATACTGGTAGGGTGAGTATGTGCTTCATCGATTCGCCTTTTTTTTTGCTCTTGCATTTAACATTCCTTCGATAGTTTTTTTTCTTTTATTATTACGTTTTTCTATCGCGAATCTCCCGTTTTTCTCGCGATACTGGTTGCTCATGTTTAACAAGGAATTTCTAACCTAATCAACCAGCAGAACAGTTGGAACGATCGACTTAGGTGTAGGTACTGGTGGTACTGCTATGTAAAGTATTGCTGATGCGACGTAGCCAGATTTTTCTAACTACGAGTGTATGAGTGTGTGTGTGTTCATAGATACGTGGAATTCAATGTGTGTATGCCAGTGGTGACCAACTTTTTCTTTACTATCTATGTGTACTCATTCGTATAGCAAAAGTAGTTATGGATGAGCTCCACTGGTGGGGATAAACTACCTTAAAACATTTTTTTGTTTGGTCGATTACTATGATCTAGATTAAAAAATAGAATTTGCACCTGGTGTGCATCCAGTCAGGGTTAGCAAAAAGAGTTCCTTGGATCCTGTTTTGCAGGTCTAGAATTTGGTGCTTGTCCTGGCAACGTGCACCACAAGATACGGAAACTACTATATCAAGATTTGTTAAAAATAAAAAATTGAATAATAATTGAATACAAGAATATAATTATATTAAATAATTAAAATTGCACTCATTCCAATATTCTCCTTGATTTTTTCCCCATATTTAATTGGAGTAAAATAGTATTTTAATTCGTTATCATTTTTTCATTCAATTATACTTTAACCATCTAAAAATAGAAAAATTACCTAACGAAACGTGAGCTAATTGAATGTCTAAAAATAAAACTACGTGTGTATTTATACAGAATAGTATTAAAAATACATTAAAAAACATTTTTCAAATCAATTTCTTAGGGTGACGGAATAAAGATAAGCAAGGATTGCATGGCAATGAACGATATAATATGTTTTTAATTATCTTTTAATGATGACCAGTAAATCAGCAGTACCTGTATACGTCTGTGTTTACAAGAGGAATTGATAAGTATTTAAACGTCTTTTTAATGCCTAAAGAGATATTTTTAATGTTACGACGTAAAAGCTGAGTCATTGTTTTTATCATTTGTTTATTGTATAAAGAGTTCTAACACTGATTCATGTGCCCTCAACAGATCATGTAAACGTGCACACGCTAACGAATGAGGGATAATTTTGTAAGACCGTATTCAGATACATAATTGTTTATTCGGAAGAGTTTCTACTTTCTTTTACTCTCAAAAATTGTATAGGTGTATGCTTTATTCGTAGGTTACTTCATTATTAGTCCATTATGATTCATAAAATTCTACAAACAGATGTTTAAATTACAATTTAAATGCCAAGGGCTTAACTATGAAATGCATGAAGACTAAAGGAAAATCTTGTCTATCTTGAGTCTGCCAATGGAGTTTTCAAGTATAAAAAAAATTTTTTTTAATACTTTTGAGGTATAAAAACATAAATTACAAGGTCAATGTTTGAAATGAGAGGGCCGTGGTCTAGTATTTTCGAGTATAGTCTAGAGTCATTTCGATGTGCACAAAGTATAAACAGTGTCAAACGTCACAAAACGACGAACAAAACAAAGAAGAATGTTTTCTTTCCCCGGGGCTTTACGATCATCTGGCTCGTACACAGTCATTCTCGAAATAAGTAGAACCGACCGCAGAACACCTTCCTTCGCCTTGTAGAATTTTCTAGTTTTCATTAACCGCATAGAAATTATGTTTTTTACTTAAACTTTTTCAGAGTTTCTCATTCCACTGTGGTAGTATATTGTCTTTTCATGATTTTGGCATGGGAGAACTGTAGTTAAATAGTAAATAATATTTTTTTTTCGTGTAGGGACTACTTTTCGAGCATAACGCGTAGTAACATCACAGAGCGCTGCCTGCCGAAGCTATAAGTATCCCCTCTCCATCTGATTTGGCAGGCATTTCTGTTACCCCTTTCAAACAGTGAAGTCTGTGTCTCGCTCGACGGCTGGTCCCGAGAGTTCCGTTTCTCAACGTGTGGGCTTGGAGGAAATCCGAGACATCTACACGACGAGAAACACTAGGGATACAGGTTGGTTGGTGTTTTCTCACGTTTTTTTTTCTCTCGATAAGTAAGACACGATCCAAGTACCGTGAAGTAAACAAGAAAAGTAGTAAACAATCGCGTGAAAGGTAAATTCAGCGGTGATCATAATCAGTGAAAGTAACGGGAAACGATAAAGTGATTCGAAAGAATTGTAAGGATAAATATCGTGAACGGCGACAAAGTCGAGGCATCAGGAAAAAATGGGTGCATCGGTGAGGCCGAGAGAATTTGACGTAGACCAACCGAGTCATACGGAGCAGCTTGCCCATTGGATCGATAAGGTACGCACCAAGAAAATCATCCGCAGGAGAAGTCGAAAGCGCGACCTTCGGGTCGAGGCTGTGCTGACCCATGTTTTATCCAAAGCAGAAAGTGAATTGCGCAGCAAACAGATGTCGAGGATAATGAGGTGGCAACAGATGAGGCAACGCCTTCTTGAGGAGGATGAGAAAGCATACAAAGATGGCGGATTCCAAGATGGCGGTGACAAAGATGGCAAAGCCAGCTCCTCCGAATATGGCGTCATCTGCGCAGTACCACAAGAACAATACAGTACATGGAATGGCTCATTTTGTCAGGAGCTGAGTAGTCTTGACACATTTATGTCGCAATTGAGCCAGATCAAAGTTCCTGCCCGGCGATGAAAGAATTTGTTAGAATGTCACGGAAATTTTCACTCGATATTTTTGAAAAACTGCCATGACTCGGTTTTTCAAATCCTTAAACGCAAGACAAAATTGGATCTATCATTGATGGATACTCGAACCATTTTCCTATTTACCAAAAGCAGCTCGTCACTTCCTTTAATTTGTAATGCTTATCGATGCATTACGGGAAAATAAGGTTCTCATCGTTGCATGGAGTATATCAAGGTATTTTTTACTTACAGTCTTGCTGTTTGAGATGGCAATAGGATGGGGCATCAGGCGTAGCTGACTATGGTGACCGTCGGGCTTCCACAGGGACCATGACTTCACGCTCATGAGCCTCTAAGCCTGTCATCGGTGTGGTTTGTAAATCGTATCAAAACCAAAGTATTATTATTTTTCTTTTAACTGTCATACTGACTCTATCTCGTTGAGATAATTTTTTTTTTTTCTTTCTTCTACTTTTGTCAAATATAATTGAACTTTAAGTACCTGTTTGAGAACAAAAGAATGAAAAAGAAAGACTATAAATAAAAAAAAGTTACTGTTTGATTCGTACTTTTATAGAGTGCTTGAATAATTTGTAATTTATTTTTAGTGTATAGTTATGCATTATTATAGAAAAAAGTAGATAATAAATCTGTTGAAAATAAAAATATTTTATCAAAAAGCCAAAGAAGTACTGATTTCCTACTCATAATTGTTCACACTTAATCTATTAATTTCATCGCTCCTTTTCAGTAGGAATTCGTCTTTGAAATCATTGCAAACGAGAGGTTGAAAAAAAAGGTAGCAGTCCGGTCAATCTACAGCATCGTGATTGGCTTATTAGAGTGTTCAAATGAAATGTTGGTGAGAGAAATTTTTGTTTTCGGGATGAAATGGGAGTGTTCTGTTTTTCTAGAAAAAGCTGAATGCGGTACAAATCCATTCATTTACACGACGATTGAGTCACGCGCAAACATCCTACCTTTGCACGCCCATCTTATCATCCGGTCACAACGTGATTAATTCGCCCAACGAGATACAGAGGCTCTTCAAGCAGCTGAAAGGGTGAGAGGGTTGATCAGTATCAAAATCTCCCGTGCTATTTTCTCAGGTAACAAGATTGTTGTGGGTGTGATGTGGCGGATTTGACACTTTCAATCGTTGTGCGTTGCACAACATCTACAAATACGTCACAAGTCATGAACGTATTATTCTACTACAGGCGTGTGTTACCGTTTCTGTGAAATAAAAAATTTGCAGGTACAGAAGTCCTTGCATGAACTTTGACAATTTAGAAACAATGTATTCATACAAAAGTCGTAATTTGTTTGAATGTACTTGTTAATTGCCCATCAAGGCGATAGACTAATCAATATTTTCACAGATAAAAACCAGGACATTTGGCATTCTTTTTTTTGCAAGTTTTTACGGGGTTATCTCTAAACATCACAATAAACGGTTGTGGATGAATTAGGATAAATCAGAAAAATTAGATTTCTTCAAATCTTACTCCTCAAATATTTCTGTCAAGATACACAATCCTGCCTTGTTTTCGATCAAGAATTAGTAAGCTACTTGACGTACTAAGTAAAATATTTTTATTTAAATTTTTCCTAGTCACTATCAGCTCCCTAAGGAGCCAAAGTAATCAGTATTTTCACAGATTTACTTACGAAATCAAGAGTTGTTTTTATCACAATTGTTACGTAGTAGAGACCAACTTACTATATTTATTATAAAAATTATGAAAAATTATCATAATTCAAATGGGATGGTTGGTGAATGGGATGTCACATTAGCGCGCACGTAAGAAAGTTTAAAGGTGATTAGACTTTTAATAACAATTAAAACTACGATTATTTCTAGCTTTAACAGTACTAACTTAAAGTGTTAAATAATGCAATGTAGTTTGTAAAAAAAGTAAAAGCAATAACATTTAATATAAATTGATAAACTTTAAATATAAGAAGTGAGAAAACCATAGATTATTTATAATTATATGTTTATATCTTAATATTTATTTTCATTCGTTTTCATGAAGTACGATACAGTTAAACAATTGATTAAAGATCGGAAGCATTTTAAAAATTATTTAGGATTAGATTACAATTGAAATTAAAAAATTTTAAAAACCATAAATTTTTGGACCAAGTAAGTAATGAAATACGGAATAAACAACCAGATGTTTAATGGTAGGTGAAAAATTCGTCATCAATATTTAAAATTGGAGAAATGTAGTTAATCTTCTTCTTTTGTGTCGACGTAGTGTAGTAAAAACGATTTTAGAGTATATTATTTATACTTTAATTAAATCAATATTGTTTACTATAATGATCAACAGGTTTGAATCGTACGACACAGTGGAATCTAGTCAACAATTTTTTTAACCTTTAGATAGAGTTTCTGAAATTAATCAGTTTTTATAACAGTATAAAGAATATTGAATTAAATTGAACAATTATGTTTTTTATAAAACAAGTAGGATTATACAGTACAGACAATTTATTTCAACTGAATGAAAAATATGAGAGAAGGTTCAGAGAGATGTATACAAAAACTAGTTGTTCGACATACATATCGAATATTATAATTTTGATTGTCGAAGAGTGCTTCTTACAAGATTTTTAAATTAATGAATTTTATAGTTTATATCACTTTTTAAAGAAAATTACTATAAAAATGTCAAGGTAATTTTACATAGCATATTTTTATACATGCAGTGTTGCATGCAATACTTATTTTGTGAGATAAAATTTTCAAAGGTAAAGATTGCTGAGTTTACTAAAACAAGCATAACTAAGTTTTTCTATTAATTGTTTTGCCATAAATATTAAAAAAAATTTTTGACGAGCTTGCAAAACTTTTTATTTTCACAGATTATAATGCATAATTTTGCAGAGTGAAAGTTTCTACAAGCTTTATATGTTTGAAAATACATCGAGTACTAGGTCACCGGTGAAAGGTCCTGTAATAGAACACAATGAAAGTAAGAGTGTGGGTAACAAGATTAAGTTAAAAAAATAATTAAATGGTTAATATAGTTAGAGAGCAAATAAGTGTTGTCCAATACATAAAAAAAAAAACATAAATGTATTTGAAAATACTCGGAATATTTATCTCTGACTGTGGCCAATTACAATTTTTTCTATGGTTATAATTATTTTTCATAAATGTTTATTATTAAATCGATGAATATAACATTTAACCTTATCAGGCTTAAACAATAAGTCCACAGATTTAATTGGTCAAGAGTTATTGTACACAGAACAAACACTATCATTGAGGATCCTATTAATATTTTATTCAATCTAGTCAAAGGAGTTGTAAGTAATACACCTTATACTTTCAATAAAAAATATTAAAATCTTAATACTATTTGAAAAATGAAAAAGTTAAAATTACAAATACGCAGAACATTTGTTTATATATGACAGTTAGTGGATAAAATACAGACAAGTGAAGGCATTTTTTAAATTCATATTACCTAAACTGGAAAAAAAGGTTCATTATAAAGTCATGAACATAACCATTTTTTTTTTTTTTTTTTTTTTTTTTTTTCATTATTTTTTTAGACGGGACGAGGAGGGAAAATCTTCATAGAAGAACGGGTTGATAGAACCCAGAACAGTGCTGAATTCACCAGACAATCCTGGCGCCTAGCAACTAAAATTAACTCCCTCATATTAAGACCAACCTATAAGGTTCTGCCTCCTAGAAGCCTAGTAAAGACAATAAAAAAGGAGAGAAGGGAAACCAGAGAATGCGCGTCGAAGATTGGTGGCTAGCTCGCTCTCAAAGGGATGAAAGGAGGGGTGTTCGCGCTACGGAGCGAAACGAGTGAAATGGCGAAAGTCCATGCAACAAAGGGTCAAAGTTTTGTTAGTTGTAGGTGTTTCGTGTAAATGAGTACACGGTGTATCAAGTAGGTGGATGCGTACTTGTATAGAAGTCGATGTTGTTACAACGTCATGGATGATACAAACATGACTCTGCGCTGAGTATACCGAGAAAACCTGTAAGTCAATTAATTTTTTTTTTTTTTTTTCATGTATAAACAATAACTTAGGTCTAAGGAAAAAAATGCACTATCAAAACAAGTGGCTTCGATAGAATTTACATAATTTTAAACGATAATCATCTTAACTGACTTATTCCTGACAAAATTTTTACACATAGAAAATTTCTCGTTAGCCACACCATATTTTCACAGATTTTAACTGCCTTGGGGTTAAGCACTTCTCCTCTGGAATTTTAACCCGATTTGACCAGTTTTCAAGTAAAGTCGTAAGTCTGAAATATTAAATTTTTCAGTAAATTTTTGTGATCAAAAGATCATACCAATCTTGAACAAATTTAGTCGTTTTTACAAGAGAAAGACAATTTGGTCAAGAGAGTGAAACAAATATTTAATTTCTCGTAAATGTGTATTTTATACGTAGAAATAGTTGCCTACTCGAGTCGAAATAATCCGTATTTTCACAGATACGACAAGTTAACATTGGACCCTTTGCATCTATTTACGCAAATAGAAGTATATCGAACCACTGTAAGTTTAAATTATTTCATGAAGTAAGATAGAAAAAACTTTGAAACTTATTATTCTACCAGGTGGTAAAAAAATCTATGAAGAAATATATTCCTATTGTTTTAGTTCTTGTAATGTACGAAAGTATTAGAATTAATTAACATTGCAAGATTTCTACATTGCCCAAAATAATACGTATTTTCACAGATTTTGTTTACGTCACGATAAGGGCATCTGGTCAGGAATTTAAAAATATTTTTTAGAGAGTCTTTTTCACAAGAGAGACCGCAAGTCGTAAGTCCATTCCATAAAATTTTTTCAGTAAATTATCTTATAATGGAAAAAATCATACATATAAAGAACGAAAAAAACCAAGTAGTTCCGTACTGCATGATAAAAATTAGTTTGAAACAGCAACAAACAGTTAATTATTATTTTCTAAATGTAAATTTTTACACAAAAGAAGTTACCCAGTAGGGGCAAAATAATCCGTATTTTTACAGACCCTACTTCACGTGAAGTTTCCAGCATCAACTTACGAAACAAACGCGAGTATGTGCAAGCACAGTGAGTTAAAACTATTAGATTTTATCTAGTGGAGAATTACTTTAAAAATAAGTTGTTTTAATATTGTCACATACGATAGCTTAGCTATGAAAATATTCGTATATGACATTATCCCAGTTAATTTATTCCTCATTTGCAAAAGACCATGCGTATTTTTGAATATTTTATTGGATTCAAGATGAACTCTACTCCTCTAGGGTTGAAAATTACTTACCAGGTTGAATTTTGTACAGACAAAGTTGTACCTACTAAATTTTCGAATGAAATTAAAAAACCATATATATTGAGAACAAAAGTCAAACTAGTTAATAATGCAATATAAAAGTACTTTCACGAAGAATTTTCACGTCTTTACTTTTTGGATTTATATCTTCTGAACATAAATTATTAGAAAAGTCCTAAAATACCGTGTTTTCATATATAGTTAACGCGGGGAATTGTACATTAATTCAAAAACGCAAGTATACATTAAAACACGGTGAGTTCAAGTTAATTAATTTTCCATAAAAGAAGTAACAAAGATTTCCCCTTCCTCCTAACAAAAATACATACACCAACATATTCATTGGTTTATTTACGATAGAAATGGTCGATATCGCAAACTTTTCAGTTTGCGCAAATAAAACGTCTTTTTACAGATTTCATGTCCATCCAGGTTAAGTACTTCTGCTATGGGGTTGACAAATATTTCCCAGATCGATCCTTTCACAGGAGAAGGTGTAAGTCTGTAGTATTATTTGAACAGCTTAAAGCATAGTTATATAAGTGATAAGACCCCATGTATGTGGAACCGAAAAGTCAAGTAATTTCACAATGTTAAATCAAAATTAGTTAAAGATACTAAGATATTTAAAGTGTTTACAACTTGATGTGTATTTTTATACGAAAGTGGTTACCCGCTTAAGTCGAAGCAATGCGTATTTTCAGATAAATTTATCCAACCTGCAGCATTAAGTTATGAAGCATATGCAAGTGGTCAAAGCTCAGTTTATTTGTTTTTTTAATCCCGCCGAATAAAACATATCAGCGCAAGATAATAGAATTACAGTAACGACAGTTAACAAATTTTTTTTTCATAATTCGTTCCTGCTGACATCAGTGAATTTTCCAATTTGTACAGATCAACCATATTTTCACAGATTTTCACTGGATAAGCATTTTAATTTTGGGATCCACGGATATTTTCTAAATTTACCTATTTACTATATTAATTCGTAATCTGCAGAATTTTATTATCATCTTGATTATTTAATTACTTGAAGAGAACAAAATTTAGTAATGTCGTGAATTGTAATAAAAATCACAGTGACTAGAAGAAAAGTTATTGTATTGTCGTTCAATTTTTTATTTGAATTATCTAAACAAAGGTAGAAACTCGAGGAAGTGGATTAATGAGTATTTTCACAGATAGGCCGAGTTGACGTGGGATATTCTGCATTTATTCGTAAAGCCAATACGAGCACATCAAACTATTGTGAGTTTCAAACTGTTTTATACAACTTACGGAACAAAAATAATCCCCATTGTTTTATCTCTGTTGGAATTTATAAAATTGAAAAATTTCCAAGTTTTCTCCGGATTAAACATATTTTCACAGATCTCGTCTGCACCGACATAAGCGCTTCTGCTCTGGAACACTCTTTTTCGAGTAGACCCTTTTACAGGAGAAGTCGTAAGTCTGTGATTTAGATTGAGTAAATTGTTTTATCATAAAACAACATATAGTAGTTAGAGAAATATTAAACTTTGTATAGTATAAAAAAGATATGCCTGAAGTGGTAACAAGGAAATCGATTTTCTTTTTTCGAACGTTTATTTTCGATACAACAGTCGGTTTCCATTAGGGAAAAAATTAATTCGTATTTTCACAGATACATCTCATAAACATGGGTCATCAAGCACCAATTTACAAAGAAAATGCGAGTACGACAGTACTGTGAGTTAAAACTATTAAATTTAATCACACAAAACGACACTATCAAAACGAATCACTTAAATGTTACCAAAATCTTTGTAACAAAAGCATTACAGTTGATATTATAAAAACAATTTTCTTCGATGCAAATTTTCTGATTTGCTCAGAATAAAAAGTCTATTCACAGATTAAAGTAAGAAAAGCACTTCTGCTTCGGAATTTACAAATATTTGCCAAACTGATACCACCGTAAGGAATTCTTTAGTAGTGAAAGATCGCACATATACCGAACAATAAGTCAGAGACAAGTCATTTCATGGTAAAATAAAATCCAGTTGAAGAGAGATATAGAATTAAATTTATGTTTTCCGATGTGTACATTCAATAAAAAATTAGTTACTAATAGGAGTCAAAATAATTCTCATTTTCATCGTCAAATCACAAAGTAAAGGCAAGTGATTTAAAGCACAGTGAGTTTGGATTATCTTATCTAACAAAAAAAAAATTGAAAGTTGTTGCTTTAATACAAGTTATTAAAATCATTTTTTTTTAAATTGTTATTAATATTGCACTGATAAAATTTTTTCACTTTTTAAAGTATATTTTTTATGAAATAGTAGTCACCCACTAAGATTATATCAGTCTATATTTTCAAATATTACTTAGCTAATGTGGGTTCTTTAGCATTCATTTATACATCAAACGTAAGTATGCTGAAGTAATTTAATATAAGTTACTTGATCCAGCTCAATAAAATAATACAAAATACGTTGCTGAAAAGGTATCAACAAAATATTTTAAGAATATTATTTCTATTGATATAATTTTTGATGCTAAAACATGTTGAAAATTTTTATTTTTACGAAAAATAAAACTATTTCTACAGATTATGTTTGCATCGAAAGAAGCTCTTCTGCTCTGGGGTTCATGAATATTTTTCGAGTTAAACTTTTTAGGAGGTCGAATCGTAAGTCTTTAATATTGGATTGTTTGTTAAGTAGTTGTATTATTGATATTGGTATTACTATTATCATCATCATCATAATCATCATCAGAAAATCACCGTAAATGTTTACAACAAAAAATTAAGTCATTTGACAAGGTTATATAAATATGAGATAAAGATAATGAAAACGATGTGTTTGTTTTATTTGAAAACGTGTATTTTTCATACAAAAATATGCATGTATTTTTAGAGTAAAATAAATCTATATTTTCACAGATAAATCTTGTGGAAGTTTCTACACTCATTTTTAAAGTAAATGTGAGTACGCCAAGACACCGTGAGTTTAAGATATCCTTTCAATGACGTTTTTCGCTAACTATAAATAATTTTCGTAAAATTTACACCAATTTAAATTTCTAGATATGTAATAAGAATTATTAATTTCGGCATTTTAATGATCATACTTTTTAATACATAGCATCAGAGATTTTGTTGTATGAGAATCTATAAGATNATTCCTGATGTACCACAGAATACCCAGGACCGACCTCAGTATTTTCATGAAAGAGCCCTGGATGCCCTGTAGTCGGTTTCCCTTTGCAGCGCCCCACGTTTGTATCGCGTAGGTGCTGATGCACTTGATTATGGCATTAAAGGTGCGCAGCTTGGTCTTCTGTGAGACTGTTTTGTTGTAGAAGGGCTTTAGCTGCACGAAGGCTCCGTATGCCTTGCCGCGTGTGTTGTTGATGTGCCGAACGTACGTGAGTCGGCGGACTAGCATTACGCCGAACTACTTGGTGGAGTAACTCCAGTCGATTTCTACTCCGTTGACCTTTATCTTCTGCAGTTCCTTCCTTGGATTTTTCCAGGAGACGAGCATGGCTAGTCTTTGCCTCGTTTACGACCACTTTCTAAAGACTAAACCAGTTATAGAGAATGACTTAAATTTAATAATTCAAATACGTTTGAAGAGTTTTGTAGTCCTAAAAAGGACTGTTTGTTTATAATAGAAAGTAAAAATCTACGAGCTTTTTTCGGTCTTTTTGGGCAAAAGAACCGCCTGGATATTAGGCAGGACACCACCCTGGGCAATTGTTACACCAGAAAGCAGCTTGTTCAACTCTTCGTCATTTCGGATGGCTAATGTTACTATGTTCGTCGTACCCGTAGTGAATAATTGTGAATTTTACATGTTATTTTACTTCTGTATAAAATTACTGGATTAAGGACTTGTTCTTCAATTACATATACCAACGAATTTCTGTTTAAGGATAAAGAAATATTGACATGATAAAAGGCAACTGCTCATGAAATTTTATACCAAAAAAAAAGTAGTTTCTTGAACTAGAAAAATAATTGAGTAATTTTTGCATAAAAAAAATAAATAAATAAATAAAAAAATTATCATTTTTTTATAGTAATTGGTATGTATACATTTTTTGTACTCTAAGAAAGAGAGACTGTTTTATGTTTTTGTAGGTAAACAAACAAAAGAGAAAATTCTTGGCGTTTATAATACACTTTTGGTCGTTTTAAAAATATGGATAATTAAAAGAGCATTGACGTATCGCGTTCTTTATTACTTTCAAGTTATGTACTTTCCATGAAGTATGCTGTGTATAGTATGTGATATTAATTGTACGTAGATATTTTTTAAAAACACAAAGCCACTGTCAATGTTACAATTAATCACGAATAAGTGAGTATGGTTTTAATACCAAAGAATAATATTAAACTTAAGAAATAACGAATAAAAATGCAACTGATAACATTTTTTTTTAATTTTTCCATCATGAGCTAATATTAAAGCAAAAGCTACACAGACTGCCTCAGAGCTTTTCTAGCGTATTAGTGACGTTTAATTATAACTTAAACTACTAAAAATACAGATTATAAGTATTTTAATCCTGTGTCTCTAAACTAGACTGCTGTTTGAGTCATTTTTTTCATAATGATTAATGGTCAAGAAAATCGAAGAAACACTGAAAAGGTCAAAAATATCACGGCTGTGTTTATTTTTACTCGATTACAATGTCTGAAAGAAATAGCCTTTAAAGTAATATTCAAGCGTTTACAATTATCATATACACGCAAGAATACCGCAGAATGAGTAAATTGTAAATAATCATTGGTGAGCGAATTTGTTTTACCATAGACTTATTTTACAGGCGATGGTATTTTCAAATGCATATTTATTATGACCTTATTAACCAATTAACCAATGTTGTGCACACTAACTTTCTCTTGATGACTAATAGCTTTAATCAATATGATACAGCATTTCAAATAGTAGTTACACCATTAGCACACCTTATCTAGGTTTTTTATCAGATCATGTCTGCGATAAGAGCTTTCATGGTATTCAAGCACCTTCTCACGCTTTAGAAAATCTCTTCTTTCAACTTTTTCGAACACGGATACCTGTGGATTCATCTGCAGTATCTTTAGAACTGAGGACCTCATCTGCTTGGACTTCCATACCAAGAATATGATGATTGTTATCGTTAAATTTGCATCGCATACAGGCAACAATGCTAGCCATGGTCAACTTTCTCATATCCGTACGAAACAACAATATATACGATGTACTGGACGTCAACAACCAAGAAACCTGGGTGGTATTAAATGACAAGCGGGATTCTAGTATGCGTCTAGCAACGATGCCAACTCCAAGTCTCTTTAACTGGGTAATTTAAGTATGACGAATACCAATGATAAAAAGTATGTTAACCTTTATAAGACAATCGTACAACATTTACACTAAAAGTATGGGTTCTAAGAAATGATTTGTTTCGAGTGAGAACTTTCCAATACAGCCTTTATTGGACTATAATATCTCTCAAAGTGTCTTAATTTAGGGCATTACAGAAAGGTCTCACTGACATGAATGCACTCATTTGAGTTACCTGACCCACGGCGTATGCTGAAATGATCAACTTCGCCTTGGCCTCTATGGATTACGTCTGTAGTAACGGTTGTCAGCCACAACGTTCGAACGATGGTACATGCTACAAAGCTTTTACACTCTGGTCTTCTATCTGCGTTGCAAGCTGATGGTGTTCTACTATTTTTTTGGTATTTTTGGGATCACGACAGTAATGACGGCTGTACAGGTAATTTTATTTCGAATATGTTGTCAATGGTAGGCGTAGATTTGCCTTAGTCGTCATTTGACCATAACGCTCGTAAAAGGCGCACTAACATCTAAAGAATTTGAGCCATGATGTCGACTAGGAAAGTCATTTATACCTTTGTTTCTTTTAACTGGAGGTACGTAAGTTAGGATCGGAATGGTATACTCGGATTTGTATTCGAGCATTATGCCTACATATCAAGTTTGCTTATTTAGGAAATTGCAGCGAAGGAGGATATCTTCAACCTTGTTCAATTCATATGAGGTATTTAAGCAACAAGACATGCTGAAAAAGTCAACTTTGCCTTGAGATCCAGCGAGGACTACTTCAAAACTAGAATTTTTCATCCAAGAAAAAGTGGCACTGCTGTGGATATACTGGGGTATCTTGGTCATTGGATGGTGGTGAAAACACTGACCAAATAGGTGTCTTCATACGTGCATCCTACATCTAGATCGAGAGGAAGTATAACGGATATTCTTAAATTAGCCGGTGATGACGCAACGTCTATAGTGAGGATCTACATCCATGGCTTTCAAGCAACGGGGCAAGCTAAGATGGACTTTCTAATCTTCATTTTTTTGGACAATGCAACTTTCCTGGGCGTTGGTAACTAGGAAGTTTTAGCAATAGTTAATACTAGATGAGCCTTTTTTATCTTGGACTTGGCTGAATAGTAATGCTAAAAATGGGCGTACTTACATGGTTTCCTAGCGATGGATCATACTGGAAATACTGAAAGGGTGTCTTCTACTCTGATTTTAATCAACGATAACATTAGCACTGAGTGTATAAATCCAAGGAATCTAAGCAACAGAAAATTGAGCAAGTCTACTTTACTGTGGAATAAGTCTACTTTAATATCTCAACCCATTCAAAGTAAGAAGAGAAAGAGAAACCAGAAAATACGGGTCGAAGATCGGTGGCCAGCGCTCTCGAAGGGATATAAAGAAAGGCGATTGCGCTACGTGACGAAACGAGTGAAATGGCGAAAGCTGGTGTAACAAAGGGGACAGCATTTTGTGTATTTGTGGATGTTTGGTGTGCGTAGGTATGCGGTGTATGGAGTAGGTAGACATTAAAACATGGATATTAAGACATAAGAAAATTAGGTACAAAGCTAACAGCCTCTACCCTGGTACCTGAAAGACTGTGCATGTTAAAAAGGATTGTTTTTGTTCTAAAGTTTGTTAAGCATTACTTGTACATACATGCATTGGCGGGATTTTACTAAAAAAAGCATCAGTTTATTATCACAGCATTAAATTTTCAAAAAACTGTAGTATGATCATGTGTTAATACTTTACTCTAGTAGTATCTGCTATTTAATGATTTACATTATTATTATGCTTTTTTAACTTTCAAAAAATAACCGTAGTATTAATTAAATAGCCAATTAATTTCCTTGTAAAATATTGGTGCCATTTTACATACGATTACATATTATAATTACTAATATGTCATAGTTAAAATTTTTATAATTGTTGAAGAAAAAATGATCACATGCAGTAAGCATTAAGTATCAATATCTATAATTGTAATTAATTTGTCGAATACTTTGTTTCATCATCTTATGAACTACGAAAAATTTTGTAAAAATGATTTTTAAACAATAAATAAAAAGTAAAAAAAAAATATGACTAATGTTACTATGTTCGTCGTACCCGTAGTGAATAATTGTGAATTTTACATGTTATTTTACTTCTGTATAAAATTACTGGATTAAGGACTTGTTCTTCAATTACATATACCAACGAATTTCTGTTTAAGGATAAAGAAATATTGACATGATAAAAGGCAACTGCTCATGAAATTTTATACCAAAAAAAAAGTAGTTTCTTGAACTAGAAAAATAATTGAGTAATTTTTGCATAAAAAAAATAAATAAATAAATAAAAAAATTATCATTTTGTACGAACTTTGGTGACACATGCTTTTTTACCATAATTTGTTTAACAGTAAGCTAGCTTACCTAAATTTAATTCACATTCATGAAATAAAAAAATAATTTTTGGGAATAACGATTTTTATTGATTAATTTAGTTAAATCATTGATCAAGACAAATCATTTACAAAAAAAAAAAAAAAAAAAAAAAAAATTAAACTGATCCACCAATTTTTTTTCACCTTAATTTTACCCTCGTAACACCTAAAACATTACAATAAATATATCAATTACTTCAAGGTTAGATGGCTAAAAGATGTTTACCTTTACCTTAACCATAATCGTATTATTAAGGTGCAATACTTGCTAGCACCAACTTTTGTGTTTCATTTCGATGACTTGCACAATGTTTATTTTGTCACTTGTTTTTGCATCTCTATATTCTATAAAATGCTAAAAAATGAGTACGAAGTACGAAACATACGAAAAAAAAAAAAAAAAAGAAATACTTAGTTAAGATAT